TCGAAAAAAATCACATATTTTCCCACCGTAGGTTTCGATCGTTTAAACTTTGGACCCTAAAATTCTAGAAATATATATATATATATTTTTGTTGTACTGACATACAATCGTATAACTTTTATACCCAAGTATAAAGTATATTTCTGGACAGAAATCTTCTAGTATCCCGGTAAAAATAAAACACATGAACTTTAAAAATTTGGAAGGAATAAATTCTAAAGAAACGAGTTAGAAGTGTGATTAGGCAGGTAATACCATATAGTCCATCGTATTGAAAAGTCACAAATCATACAAGATAATGTTTGACATAAATTATATTACTATCCATAATTTATGAACAAAATACAAATATATTTTTTGAAAGGCGCTATATATATATATATATTTATGCCTACATTTCTATACAGTCTGTTATTCTGTATACATAGTTAATATAATATTTTCTGAATAGCCGTAGCTCGTAACTATTTATTTGTGATTATTGATTATATTTTAAGCTTGGGTGATATCTAATTTAACTTAGATTTCTAGGTTAGGTATCATATACTTTCAGTGGGTAGGATAACATACCATTTGGTCATCTATAATTTCGATTAGTAGGCATGGTTAAAAATATTGATTATTTAATAGATTTATTATTATTTTTTATGCATATCGTTATGTTACTTAATAATAATAAAAAAATAACTGAGAATCATGATTTTTTTTAGTATTTTATCATGAATAATGTGACCTAAAGATGGCTTTTATTAGTTAAAAGTTATAACCAAATATGATTATCAACAATAATAAATTGCGTAACGTTTTTGAACACAATAATATTATCAAGAGTACCTACCTATAAATAGTATGAATGTATGACATTGGGTTCATACTTCATATTATATTATGATATAATATTATACCTAAATATTTATGATTTCGAATGTATACCGTAGGCATATACAAAAAAAAACTACTTGACAAAAATGGTCAAATTTTAATTAGGTAAATTTAATTTTGTCCAAAATAGTCTTTCCATCTATTTTGAAGGATTCAAATGTACCTATAATAAAATAATAATAATAATACATAATGAAAAAAACAATTTTGGTAATCATTAACAAGGTTCATACGGTTAAAATGTTTTTATTCAGTTTTAATTTGTTTCAAATGAACACATTTAACAATATAACATGTAATTATTATTGAAATATACAATACAATGGCTAATAAACTTATTAAAACTAATATTATGACCAATATAACATCTAACGGATGATACTGGTACCAAATCATATCGGTTGATGCAGAATTCATGTGTTCAGTTCCATTATGTTTAATTACATAATCGGTCCAATATGCAACCAGCGCTTTTGGAGACATTGGTCGATCTTTAAACAACTGATACAACTCTTGAACATTTTGTTTGTACCTATATATAAATAGAATATATTATGTTTATACGATACAAATTACAAATAAATAAACATGTAACTATATACTATTAATTTAATAATTTTAGATCAATCATAATAATTATACTATTTTAGAATTTATTAAATCATTTTTTTGAAAAAATGTAATGTACTTTTTGTTATTGATTATTTCTTTAGCAGCAGCTAGAACTGATTTTTTATTGATTGTTTTATAGTCTAGACTTAAACCCATTCCCAATGATACTGCGTTCGCTATGTTTCTATGTTGGTCGCTAAATAATGGTATGCCAAGTATTGGCACTTGATTGATGATGGCTTCATTTATACCAGACAACCCACCATGGTAAATAAATAGTTTTAATTTTGAATGTGCTGTAAAAAAAATTAATTATTTTTTCTTAATAATATTATCAGAAACAATATTCGAGTACCCATTATGTCTCTTTGGGGAAACCATTTCTTGATCATAACGTTGTTTGGTTGGTTTTCCATTACTTCACCATCATACTTCCACAGTATCCTTTGTGGTAGTTCAGCAAATGCCTCTTGTAACGAAATTTGCATTTTCGCAGGAAGTGAATCCATTTTTACAGTGGAACCAAATGAGAAATATATTACCCCTTCTGGAGCGTCGTCAATAAATTGTTGTATATCCTATTTAATACCCACGATTAATGTATTAAATGATCAGTAAAAGTGAAAGTTTTAAAAGATTATTTACCAATGTTTATATTATACACGTACATTTTCTTATAACGTTAAGGATTTATTTTGGATGCTTTGCTAAACAATATAATACTTAAAATGTCTAATGGTGATGTTTATCAATAAAATGCCTATCATTACTTCATTACTTTAATATTTGTACTCTATTCACTACATTCTACTATCCTCTCCTCTTATTCCTACACTGGCTAAATTGGATTTAGGTAGTAGGAATACCTATAACCCGTTAAAAATAATAAACATAAGGATAGGATGATTTAGTAAATAGTAATTGTGTAACTTAATATAATATAAGAAATAATAATTTTAAAAAAAAAAACCGTACTTTTGGCAATGGTTTAGGATCATTAACGTGAATACCTCCGATTTCTATAAGATTTGGCATCCAAGGTCTGGGTAGGATGAAAGATAAATGGCTGTTGACGAATATTAATGATATTTTTTTCATTAGCTCGTAAGAATCCGGCACGTCTTTGCCGAAATAAGTTCTCCCAATTACCGTTGCATTTCGATCGTACCACCAACTTTGACCAATCGAATGTACGTAATCGTAAGTGTTTAAAAAACGGTCCCAAAATGTTTTAGGACTCGCTATCGCTACGTTTAATGTGGACGTGTACGAAGTAATCAAAGGATTGCCAAAATGGCCGTTCAACCTAATAAACAGGATGTATGTTATACGCACGTATAATGTATAAAATATAAATACATTGATGAGCCAAGCAATAATATCTATAGTTATTAATTTGATTATTAACATACCACGTCGGCATGGAAGATGTTGCAACGGCGATCATCGGCACTTGTAGTTTGTAGGCTATATACGAATCACAACCCGAGCCCAGCAACTGTGTGACGAAAAGGTCATATTTTTTGGACTCGAGCACGGTCCAGAAGTCTTCACGCTTATAAATAGCTTCGCACGAAGTGAGATGTGTTTGGATTAAATATTCAGTACCGTCAGATCCAGCTACGTTCTCGAACGGTGCCGACGCCGACCGTCTCATGTAAGAAGACGAATCTATCTTAAAAACGATAAAATTATACAAATTAGTTGGTACCATAATAATATTATGTTCAGAATTGGCATTTGACATGAAACTGTTGAGATAAAATTGAAGTTTATTTCGAAAACCATTGATTGCTGCAATGCTGTGCTATGATTTAACAACAAATATAATGTAAACAGCGGTACCTAATAAATTGTACTCTTGTGTATAGCTTTACTACAGATAATGAAATAAATGCCATACTAACCTGCGTATAGTTTTCAATTTTTTCTTGTTTTATAAAAGGAGTTATAACTGTAACATTGTGGCCAGCTGACACGAGAGTTTGTAATACAGCATCCATAACGTTCCAATGACTCTGTCCGTATATCGGCACGAAAGCGAATATTTGAGCTCCATAAACAACAGTCATTGTAAAGTGCACATTTAAAAAAACTAACATGAAATGCATTTTAATATTTTATAAAGTTTAAACATTTATAGTGAGTACCTATCGATAAACTATGTTACGTATACGGTAAAATAAAAACTCGATTGACGAATATTTTCAAACAAATGTATGATACACAATTAATGTTACATTAGATAACACAATACAAGTACCATATTAATATTTATTTATTTATTGTTCATTAAACGCCATCGATTGAAAACCACATTGAACCTAACCAGAAACATAATTCGTACTAGGTATACAGAACCTACCGGTGAGTGAAGGTATATTATTTGTCAGGTTTTTGGTTTACCTACATAATGTTGAGTTATTAGAAAAATGAATACCAAGGCAATATTCGTTTTCAATATTATTATTACATATTGTTTGTGTACTTCTATGATAATCAGTGCTACCTACAACTTATCTAAATAGGCTATAGATAAAAATATATACCATTATAAAAACACAACTGCAGGTTTTCAAGTTAAGCAATCGTGAGTACCAGACAAAGGAAATATAGGTATTAATAAATGATTATATTTTTAATCGTTACATTAGTTAATTAGATCGTTATTATTCCACCTCTGCGCCATGGGCCTAGTCCACAACAACAGCAGCATTGCATAAATGCGTTCTGAGGCTGAGCCGCTGCGGTATCGTCGTCGTTTGTCGATCGTCGTGTCGACGTTGCTGTTGTCGATCGGTTGCTTGCTGGAGAGCTTGGAGGCCACGCCGACCTGTTGAACTCGTATTCCAGGTGGGCATGTCGCCAAACGTCTCGTTTGTGCTCAAGTAATGAGAAACTGTCTACCACACAGTGCCATACAGTTCATGGTGGTAATGAGCACAATAAATTGCTCATTTGAAATTGGTCGCTCTATAAATGTGTAGCATGCTTTAGGTTGATAAGTCAACCTTTTCGTTGTGATGATTAGTATGGTTATACGGTATGTACAAATGTACAATACTCATAATAATATTTCCATTTAATTTACAATGATTTAATGAATATTTGTCAGGGATAGCTAATTTTTAAGAAAAGTTATGGATAATTTACCAAAATTTGGTATTCTTTTTTCCCATAACTTATAATAATTTAAAACATTATGTATAATTTTTACTAATTTTAAACCACATATTGCACCATTGTAATTTTTTCTAATTTTAAAACGTATTATATTAGTACATTTCATTACTTTTTTTTAATTTACCAAACAAGCAATCTCATACAACCAATATTGAACTATATTATGACCATATCGCCATATTGGCAATGCAGTAAAAAAATTCACTGTAACGTGGAGTTGCACGGGTACGAACACGTCGAGTCCAGCGTATCTGAAACGAGCGACATACCGACCGACAGCGGCCTCGCGATAGACGCCGATGTCATAGAATCGCTGGACACGCATGACCGCCGTCCAAGTTGTCAGTCATCCACTGTCCACAAGGTCAATCCGCAATCCGGCGGCCACGGGCACCTCCGACCTTCCGTCGTATCTGGACGCGCCGCTCGTCGACCGGGACCACACCCGTGACGTTCGCCCATACCGCACGCTGGTCCTGTGGTACAACGACTCGGGCAGCGACCACCGGTGGCCAGAGCACCGGTACACCACAGTGTTCGACACGCACACCACTCAGACGTCCCTCTGGAAATCGGTGTGGCAGTACACCCGAACCGCTCAAACTCCGACGAGCGTAGGTCCACCGCATCGCCCGTCACTCAGTCTTTGTGAGCGGACGTTTGCGTGCCGCGTTAACCTCGGACCGCGGACTCTGTCATTTTGATACCGCTTACTGATATGACGTACAACTTACTGAACCACTGTTTACTGACCCGGAAGTGAAAAAATCGTCTGCATATTATGGCTATCTATAGTCGTTAAAAAAATAATACCCAAGATTAAGTATAGATACGTATTAATAATTGTAGGTACCTCTGTTTAATATTTCTGGCCTTGTATAAAGTACATTTTTACTAAACATTTTTAAAAATCCTACGTGACGCTTTTATCGCTTTGTCGTTCTAAACATTTGAACGATTAATTTATTATAATAAGCACATGTGTGTATTGCGTCTTTTTTGACCATCGACAACACGTATTATTATCTAACCTAATATATTATTTAATTTTTCTCTTTAGTGTTTTTGTAATATTATACTATTGTGCCAAATCATCATACATTGTAGTTCATCATATCTGACGGTTTGCTCACACGGAATGTTATATCTAAATCAGTGGTTCTCAACATATTATTTAATTGTGCAGATCTCCAATTTTGTAAAAAGAAACTCCGAGTCCCATTAACTAAATAAACAAACAAAATGTATCCTTGGCATGGACCAGGGATGGCAAATAAGTGCCACGCTTGCCATGCTTGGCAAGGGAGAAATTTTCGATGGCACCCGAAAGACTTTCATGTGTCTATATATATTTATATACCTTGCAAGCAACAGCATATTAACCAGACATAAAAAATCTTTCAAGTAATATGAAGTAAAATATTCCTAACAATCAATAATGTTGATTTTTTTAATAATTTTTTTCTACATTATTATTATTAGTTTTTTATTTATATTTTGAAAGCCCTCGTCCCTTATACTTTCGATCACGCTGCCCGTGGCTCATGGGATGGGAACCACTGGCTTACATACCATTATTGTTATAGTATACTATTCAATCCAAACAAAAACACTCCCCCAAACTCCATGTAAAAAACGCTAAGTATAAAAAAAACTGCTCTAAAAGTTGTCATATCATTGTATATGTAAGTCCATGAAAATATTAAATTAACTACACGAACGCTCTCAGACTTTTAGCTTTTTTACTCAGGTTTATGTGTGCCACGACACTCTATCTTGGAACTAGTTGATATTTTGAAAATTATATTATAATAAGTGTTTTGGTCAGGTAATTAATTGGGCAATGGACATACAATGTTTTTCTGTATGGTTTAAAAGATGTGATGGGCAAGAGAGAGTAATGAATTTGGCTTGATCGTATTTACTTTTAGTTTATTGGTAGCCATAGATACAACTTCACCAAACGATGATTTGGAAGTACAAGAACGATACGTCTGATAGGCCAAAAAATGTGACTTTGTGTATATAATAAATATGCTAGTTACGTGAATTAAATAAACACATATAATTTAATATTATACATTATGTTAATTTATTGAAAATAATCGTTGATGATATTGATAACCAAACCTATTGGGATCGTATCGAACCTATCTCTTAATGTTGTAAGTATAACGATTTAGATCATTAAAATGTTATCCAAGGGCATACTTGCTGTAAAATATTGTAGGTATCTAATTACAATACAAATAGCACATTTATATTTTTATATTTATATAATTTGATACCTTGTAATAGTGTATTATTGTAATAGTTGCTTGAGTAGGTACAAAACTATTCAGGAGTATAAGAGAGTTTGATTAAAGAATTACATTAAGTTATCAAAAAAATAACATTGTTGTATAGTAATATTTTATATAGGAATGTAATATAAAAATTTGAAGAATTAGAATTATTGATTTAGAAATAATCATAATTTATCAATTAGTTCGATATTAGCTTGCATACACATTTTTGTCTTAATGTGTGTGTTTTATTTTATATAATACATAAAATAAAAACTGTTATTGAACAACACTCGTTATTTAAACTGTTCACGTTATTTATGATAATATTTTTTTGTACATAATTTTAAGTTGACAGAAAATGACTTTTTTGTTGGAAACCATATTGTGGACCAACATTTTGGGGAGTACCTACCCCATGACTTTGCCATTCTACTTCACTGATCTAAACTTTAATGCGTTTAAATACTTATAAGCTACAGTAATCGGCCAAAATTTGATTTAGATATGTCGTCGAAGTAGGTAACTACTACAAAAATATTCTTTTTTTGAATTAAAAATGTATACTGTTATTAAAAAAAAGTAAAAACTTAAAAAATTATTACGATACAACAGAGTAAAAATATAATTTTTATGTAATTATGTAAAAAAAACTTATAATTTATAATGGGTCCACACAGTCTGGTTTTTGTTTTTAAAAACAATTTAGATAGTCCCGTCTGTGTTGGGAAAAGTCGAGTTTATATTGTTTTATATTATTTATTTGTTTTGTTTTTACTTTTTTCGTCCTACCCGGCACAATGAGTGTTCTTCGACAAAACCCGGTATATACATATATACGCGTGTGTATATTTATAATATGTATAGGTACAATACTATGATAGCAATAATTGATATAAGTTTTTTTTCAGTTTTTTTCGGAAAACTATAAACGGTTGTCGTCCATTTTCCGAGACCTATATGGGTCATAATACGTCAGCCGAATCTGCATGTCGTCTACTAGGTCGAGTATTTGATTCGACATGGTACGGAAGTCGACATTACTACATTAGGCTTTTGTCAGCCGATGCTTCGTGGACTAGCCATTTAATGTTGGACATGGGTAGTGAGTCAGTAACATGAATAGTGAGTATACCTTTGTCGCACTGTGGTTCGTCATATTCTGCATTCCGTCCACATTCCACTGTAAAGCTAAGTTTAATAACTTGTACATCTATACGAATACACATATTATGTAGCTTGTGGGTGGTGGTAGTGTGTGTTTGTGCGTCGAGGGGGAAGGTCATAAAGTAAAATACACTAATATTCGAGTACCTAACTAATAAATTCGATATCATAACATCTATATTCTATACCTATATTTTATATAAATTATTCTTGTTTAAACGTTAGCACACCCTGTTTAATGTCACATTTATTTTTGTCTTTTGAAAAATATGTTTTCTATTTTAGCCATTCACATAAAATAATGACTATAACATACTTAATTGCAATAACTGACAATAAGTATAACAAATACTAAACGTTATGTTTACAATATAAATATAAATCAAAAAATAATTAGGCAGAATATATTATGTTTCTAGTAAACTACTCGTATAATAAATTTATACTATAAACTATGATAAATAGGTACATATACGATCTATCGATCTCTAAAATATTATAAATCAAGAATTCAGTCAATTCTTAAAGATAAAAATAAAACATATTCTAAAATACAATACCTAAAAATGAATATTTATTTCACATTCAATATTTGAAAATACTTATTTCAAATTAGAATTTTCAGTATTCATTCTTTTTTTGTTTTACTTAAATTACGGATACGATTTTTAATAGCCTTTAATAAAAGAAAAATAACACTTAAACTAACTAAAGCAATTAATACAATGGTAATTAGAATATCAATTAAAAAATATTGATACCAAGACAATTTTAGGGCAGCTGTTTTTAAATGATGTGCGCCTTTGTGTTTGATGACATATTCTGTCCAATATATTACTTCTTCTTTTGGTGTATGCTGTCGATCCTTAAATCTTCTAGAAAGTTCCATCGCTTTAAATTTGTATCTATAAATGCAAAATTATATTATATTATAGAACATTAGGAAAAATAATATTACCTACATTTATTATGTTTATTGATTCGATATAATAATATTATACTATAAACTGTCGAGGGAGCCGTTATATGTAAGAGTTTGGCCAACCGCAGTGTGATAGCAGCCATTAATCGTCCAAACAATTCTCAAGTGTTTTTTTTTATTTAAAAAGCATAGACAAGTATATATTGGAATCAAATCATTCATGACTCATTAGAATATTCACAGTTAAATTAAAATTCAAACCATCCAATATTAAAATGTATAAAATATAAAACAAATACACATAGGTACCATATATTAAGGCTTACTACTATAGACCAGTGATTTTCAACATGTGTGTCTAGAGCTTTTGAAAGTTATTTTTTATAATATTTATAATAAATTAATACAAACATAATATAACAAGTCATATTATAAAATATAAATAAATAAATATATAATAATATATAAAAATATGTGTTAGTGTTCGTACACACGACAGTAGTGAATACTTAAATGAACATTTAACTTTGATTGGAACTAAAATAATAAAATCAAACTTGACTGGATGGTTGTCGAATGTCAAATGATGCTAATAATTTAGAAAAACAATACCTTGGTGGTCAAGAAACATATTATAACGAAATCTAAATATATACGTTTACTTTACACTTAAGCAGACAACTGTAATTCCAACAATACGTCGCAGCGAGACAAAATATTCTAATATTTCACAACATGTACGAGGGATCCATTGAGTCACATTTTTACAATCGTATTTAGTTGGTTAAATATTTAAGTTTGATCTATCAGTCACCGATTAAAAAAAAAATGTGTTGAACGGTCCGCTGTTGCTATGAAGTATTTACTCCATAGAAAATAAATAAAGTTGTTCATGGCTGAGACATATGAGCATTCAAATTTTTGTGAAAAGGACATGTGTGCCGTGTTTAAAAAAAAAGGCTGAAAACCACTGTTATATATACTATAGAATTCAATATAAAATATCTTACTTGTCATAGTTATTGATCATTTCTTTGATAGCATTCACAAATATATCTTTGGTCAACGTTTTGTGATCTAACATTATGCCTGCACCCCAATGAGCTATGTTAGCAATGTTGTGTGATTGATCGAAAAATAGAGGTATACCAAGTACAGGTATTCCACTATCTATGGCTTCATAGATCCCAGACATACCACCATGAGATATAAACAATTTGACATTCTTATGTTCTGAAATAAAAAAATGAGCAAAATATTTTATAGACGAAATGTGTTAAAATTTTAAATATAGATAATCTTAATAAACAGTGGACAGCAAGTAAAGCACACAATACGCATATTAAAGATAATGTTCGTTGGTGAGTTTAAACTTATAAAGTATAAGCTATATTAAACAAGTAAACTGCCTTAAATGGCCTTATAATATACTTCAATATAACTAAATAATTATTGCATAATACATAATATACATTTATAATGAAGTTGAGTAAATAGAGTAAGTACCTACTCTAAAATATTTAGAATATCTAATTATTTAATTGCTTTCATTAGTGGTTACAAATTATTATGATAAAGATAAATAAACGGGTACCTAAAATATCTCTTTGTGGGAACCATTTCCCTATTTTGACATTTTGTGGTAAGTCTTCTATATCTGGAACATCGTACTTCCACAGTACTCTTTGAGGTATTTCTGCCAATGCTCCAACGAAAGCTTTTTGCAAATATGCTGGTGCTGTTTCCAACCGAATTACAGATCCTAACGTAAAGAATATAACACCATTCGGAGAATCATTGATATACTGTTCAATATCCTTACAAAAAAAAAAAAAAAATTATAAAAAATTTTAATTTAAGAGGACGCTACACAGATATTTGTTGTCACCGTCTTACAAATGCGTAATATAGCAAATTTACGCTCAGGAGAACGCGTTTATGCGTATATAATATAGCGTAAATTAAAAATGCTCATAACTCACTTAAAAGCTGAATTATCGTAAAACACCCACATACAAACACAAATAATGTTCTTACTATCAAGTTTCATAATTGGTTGATTCACTGAAATTTTTAAACTAACCGAGTTAACCGTAGTCTGCTGAGCGTAAATTTTCCATGTTATGGAGTCAACAAAACAAATCTGTGTTAGCGTCTTCTTAAGTCTTAAGAGTAAAATAATATTACCTATGTTTCGATCATAGTCATTGTACCTATAGATGACTTACTTTGGGCAATTGTTTTGGCTGTACTAAATGAATTCCACCTATGTCCACGAAATTAGGTAACATAGGCTTGGCCAAGTCCACTGTATAATGCCCGTTGATGAACAATAATGACGTATTTTTCATTAAAGTGTCGGCATCTGGTGCGTCGGAACCGAAATATTTTCGACCGATAACCGTCGATTCCCTGTCGACCCATTTGAACACCATGTGTGAGTACAAGTAATCGTATGTGTTCACCATTCTCTCTATGAAGTTTTTGGGTACTGCGAACGGTGCGTGGAACGTGGAAATGTGCGCAGGGTTCATGTGACTTCCGAACGTATGATGGTACCATGTATGCACATGGCTCGAGACAATGACTATCTGTGGTATTTGTAAATAATATGACACATATGCGTCACACGACGAGGCTAGTAATTCGGTGATGAACAGATCATATCTATAATAGAATTAAAAATAACGTTTCAATATAATATGCTATATTGCTTTGTATTACTTATTGTGGTTGTTTGTGCTTATTACTGACTGTTTATTTTTAAAAGTAAAATGTTGTTATCAAAACTATTGAATTGTATAATTATGCATTTTATATTTTAATATAATATAGTACTCTACAATTATATAGTATATTACTATTATCTAATTATATTTAAGTTACCTATCTTATCTACTATTTTGTAAATGCCGGTCGCCGTTTATTTTTATAGTAAATAAATAAATAATAATAAATATAGTATTAAATAAGTTAACTCTCTTTTACTGGCATATAATATAACGGTAAAGGGTCTTTACTTAAATCCAATCGTCTTTAAATTTAAAAATATATTATTATTATAAGTTGAACATAGAACGGTATTGTTATTTATATCTGTATTAAATTTAATTTTTTTTTGCGGTTACAGGATACTAAATTTGATGAATTTGTGCATTACTGCACCGATATATTTGGCCCTAATATAATATTATATGTTGTTCAGTCATAGGTTTTAAATGTCAGGTACCTAGTAAACTTTTCAATGTATCACGTATCAACCATCACCGATCCGAAAACGATAAATTGTGAATTTCGTATTTAAGTGATATTTTTAATATCTAGTTAAAGGTCATCGACATTTTATCATAGCATATAATACCTACACTTGTGTTTTCACTCGTGTACGCACACAACAGGCGGTGTTACGGAATACAAATAAACTGGCAAATATTATTTATTTATTTGTATAAACGCCAAACGGCTTTTTACATATTGCAATAACGATATTACATAAATTAACGTTAGTGATAAACTAACGTTTGTTATTATCAAATAACAATAATATGATTAACACGTTAATTACTGTAATTCGGAAGTCACTCTGATTGGGCATAATCCATAGGTTTTTATATATTTTTAGAATATTTGATTTTTTTTGCCCGATTGTTAGTAAGTCACATAGGACACTAGGTAATTTCCAATGTGGTGAAGCCACAAGAAACGCAACTGCTCTAGCAGTCATGCCATTTTACGATTTTTAATATAAAACTGCTATACCAGTCATGGTCATATTACGACTTAAAACAGTATGACTGCTTATCAGTTACTGTCTGTCAACGTGTTAATAATTAATATAGGTATTATTGTTGTTTGATCATAATAATATGATCTCCTCACTTGTTCGTTTCGATTATGCGCCAGAAGTCGTCGTGCTCGTACACCGCCCGGCACATGTCCTTGTGACGACTCGAGAGGAACGGCAGGTTGTTGTGCACCGAACATTCGCCCAAGACCGTGTCCCACGGCACGCTGACGCCCGACGGCATCAGACGCGACATGTCCAGTTCCGTGTAATTGGCCACCGGCGACTTCTTGGGGAACGGCGTGATGGCCGTCACGTGGTGTCCACGGGCCACTAGCGTCTGCAACACCGAGTCCACCACGTTCCAGTGGCTCTTGGCCGCGATCGGCATCATGGCCAGGATTCGGGCGCCGTCCGCGGCGTGGTAGTCCAGTCGCGCCGACGTCAGCGCGCCGACCGCCATCATCGCCATGCACCAAGACGCGGTCATCTCCGCGACCTATCTTATATATTACAGGTGACAACCGCTATTAAAGTGTTTCTGAAACGGATCGCCACAGGTCAGAGTAGGCCAATGATACGTATGATAATATTGTTATACGGATACCGGCACTGTATACTGTATATTTGATTTCAATGAATATTGATATAGGTGTTTAGATTATATTATAATTTATCCAAAAGATGATTATCATTTTTCATTATAACATTATATTAATTTACAAATTATTATACCTGTGCGATTAAACTAAAAATCTTTCATCCGAGATATAATTCAATGGTTGGCATTTATGTTTGTACAGAAATCTGTATGAGTGTAAAAAGAATGAGTAGAAGGACTCACACACACATCGAGAAAAATACATCGATTTCTAGTCCATTTAGATAAGACTTAATAATTTATTATTTTTAAATACACATTAAACAAAACGATACATTTTATCAAAAAACAATTCTAGAAACAATGTATACAATATATTTAGGTACCTAAATAAAATGTGTCGATCGCAAACTCTATATAGTGGCCAAAGTATATTGTATATAATATGTACCTATAGGTAATATAAAAGTATACTTTTCAAATAAACAAAGTCCACAAAATATATATTGTGCTATTATTTCAATTATTTATAGTAATCTCATCTGAATCCGTTAAATAATGATTAAACAAAAAGTGTCCAGCTATACTATCATTATACCGTCCCGACGCCCGCCCACCCACTGACCAGCTATAGTACTAAAAAAGAGCGTCTACAGCATCGTTAAACGGTTTAAGTGCCAACGAGTATAATATTAGCTATCAATGGGTTTGAACAAATAAAGATCACATTTTCAGTGACAGCCGGGTATTCATTAGCCCATTATTTATACTTATAAAAAGATAACGAAAAATAAATAAAATAACAAAAATTCGTCTCTGTGTAGATTACAGTTTGAACTACAAAACTGAAAACACTATAAATATAAACACTATAAAACAGCAAAACCGACGAACGGACGAAATAATACGCACCTTTACTTAATTTGCTGACTCGAAACGCTGTTGTACTACAACTGATATTACCGTAGGTACCTACCTAATAAATCATGTTAATATTATTACCTATCACTGTGTTCATAATTTCCTGTAGGTATACCTATGTCTAATGTTTAAGTCCAATTTAAAATACACCACCGTGATTAAAATATTATCCATACACAATTATTTATACTTCAATATTATAATATCTAAGTTTTATTCGTATATTTAAGACTTTAAATTCATCGATAAGATTAATTAAATTTAAAAATTTAAAAACAATATAGCCTTACGTATTGTTTGTTAAATGCTGTTATACTGTTGTTTTATCCACTTTATTGTCTTATCGAATAATTAATAACTATTGATAACAATGCTCGATTAGTATTAAAGAATAATACTCTATCGACGTAAGATAAAGAACCGATTTATGGGGAGTGGCGTAGCTGGTACAGGCTTGACTCGGTGGGGCCTAACCACCACCGACTGGTGACCCCTCCGAGTTTCCTTCTTAACGTGAATGGAATATAAGTTTTTCAATAATAGAGCTTAGTTTTTAATTTAATTATCCAGTGTATGACAGTTAGAGGCCATAATAGTTGTATACTTGTATACAATCATTATGATGTAATTAGTTTAATTTAAAATATTACTAGGATACCTACTGGATAATGATAACAAAATAATATAACTTATGATAACTGTCGATTTGAGTACAAACTACAATGTCTAATGCTCAAAATTAAATTATGTTTTTCACTGACTCACAATAAGATACGTTTTATTTTGTAATTTCTTATACATACAATCTAACAAGTGTCCAGACTTGAAATAAGAAATAACAGACTACCTACTACTACCTATAATATATCGACTTAAAGTGAAATTGAACTTTATAAATAAATTACAATAATACATTTTTAGTTATAAGTTATAAGTTATAACCCAGATAATTAATATTACTCTTACGTATATCATACCTACCAATTTTAAAAGTGAATAAACAATATTGAAGCAAAACAGACTATCCAGGCTGCAGCTGTGTTAGTATACCTAAAGTCATTTTCAAAATGATATGAACAATCATAATAATAAAATTATCATAAAGACCTGAGACACAAAATGGCCAGTGTCACCGCGGGTTCATCAATAATAAAAAAATATTTAGTATAGATTTAGAATTACCATTCTATATTATATTGTATGGCCGTATTGGTACTACAATAATATTATTAGTTAAGTTACGATTAATATGAACAATGACAAATTAAAATATTATAATAATATATAATAATAACAGTAAAACCCGAAATCACCAAGAAAAAAATTGATAAACATAAAATATGCCGCTATATGAGTATATCTCGGTTCTAGTGTACCTCAGTTCAAGGGCAAATCAACATCGATATACCTAGCTTTGAGAAATAACTCGAACAATTCCACTTGTGGTATATTTGATAAAGCACTTTGTATATTTTTGAACGTGATTCAAACCTAAAAATATTTTCAAAAATATTTGTTTTAACGAGGAAAGGTATTGAAAACAGTTTTAAAACGATGTTTATGTTACTTAGATTTTTAAAAGGAAGGATCTTATTTTGATGCCTTAAACTGCGCTATACTATTTATATAAATCACCATTTATAACACACGTTATAATCATATATCACGTATCAACTATACGTCGATACGAAAAAAATTTGGGAAAATTCTACTTTTTTTCTAACATTGGTTTTGGCACAACCTGTTGATGGCTTTTTTACTAAAAGTTTTACGTTTAGTAAAATTTGTGGTAAAAGGATTTTCGAGTGAACTTCAAAACTAAGCTAGATAGCTTACGGCACTGCCGAGTAACAATTTGACCAAACAAATTTTTCAAATATGTTTGTTTTAACTATTAAAGGTATTGAAAACAGTTTTAAAACATTTTAAATGCTCTTCTAAAAATAATTTATTTCAAAACTTATATTTAGTATTTTTATGTTTTTCATTATGTTGCATTAATTATTCATGGTATAATAAATAATCACCCAACATACAACCATCCACCAAATTGTGTATGTGTTACTGAAGCAACACTTTTACTATAGGATCACCGCCACTGATAAGAATATTGCCTTTTGTTGTAAATTTTTAATAACAAATAATAACTTTAATTTAATTTATTTTATTTGAAAAAAATGCAGAGCATAGTATACTCGATATCAATTTTTAATATTAATATGTTTTTGGGATGGATATATAAGATTTTTTGTTTCTGGCCGATTTTTGGTAAGGTTTTCGTCGTCATGGTTATTTATTAACAATAACATGTATATGGCTCATAGATTTTACTTGTAGAGGAAAAATATCGAGTAGTGTGTTATGTTTTTCTTTAAATTTATTGTATTTCTATAGACTATAACCAATAACAACCCCATGTATAAACAAAAAAATATTCGATTGTCGTGAGTCAAAACGAAATTCATGTGTGACTGTGTGAGTCACCCTATAGCAGCCTTCAAGGGTTGAAAAAGAAGTTTAAGACGCCCTCCTAATCTCAAGGAATCTATTGATGTAACATTTATTGTAATCGGTCTATATAGTAGTTTCTGAGATTAACCGATTGTAGAAACTACTTGAAGTAGTCCAATAAGGAATCATTTTGTTTACTAAAATATATATTATTATCTATTTTACGAAAAGCTGTTCGTTAGTCTGGCTAAAACTCATAAACGGCTTGATCTATTTGGCTGATTTTTTTATTTACGTTCTTAATTTTCTGGGAAAGGTTTGTAATAAAGAACCACCCGAAAAGTAGAAAATCCAAATGGCAAAAATTGTAAAAAGTGGCACCATCTGTCCGTCAAAAAAAATAAACTTAATAATAATATATTTTTATTTATTATAAGGTTGCTATTGGTTACAAACAATAAAATAGTTAGTATAATAGTATAATATAATTTTAGACCTGTATTTTATGTTTTGTCAAAATCATATAATAACTTAGTAAAAATGGTAATCTTAACTCTAATTTTTCGACCATTATCCCGTATTTATGTACATTTTTTATAATATTATATATTGTAAATAATGTTATTTTATTTTACCTACCTATAGGTGTGGCGTACTTCAATCACTAAGCTAAGTATTTAAAAAATGACCTACCCACTATCTCTTACTATATAATATATTATTAATATGTAATATTTATAATATAATTTAAGCTGTATTCTAATATAGAATTTTTGTTATAGAATGATATCAATAATTTAGCATAAAAAAAATACTATAATAATTAATTATACATTCATATGCTCAAATTGTAATTTAAAAAAAAATAAATATATTTCTAGGGCTGATCAGTTGTATTAGGTAATCGTCACGTCGTTCTACACGCTACTGCTATTAACCTTAGGTGTTTAAGCCTTGACGAATAATTAAATTTATATTATATATATATATATTAAGTATTAATAATATAAGCATGTAGATATTCAATGGTTAAAATTGTTTGAAATCATGTTTTTTATACATTGAACTAAATTGTACAGAATACATAATATGTAGTTAAGAAATTTATTTATTTTGTACTGTACTCATATTCATAAAACCGGAACTCTATATTTACATACAAAATGTACTTAACATATATTGTCATGCTTTTATAACCATATTTACTCAATATCACGCTTTTGGTCATAATAAAACTGTTTTCGAATTTCCATGGTACCATTTGTTGTAGGAGGCTGACTAAGCACCAACTTAATATTAATTTAATGGTATAATTTGCATATTATACAATTTCAATTTAGAAAAAAAATAGGGAGATAAAATTATGTACTATTTTACTCACACTAATGAATAAATATATTTTATATAACATTCACATAGGTAGTGGATCTATAAAGGGTGGCATATAAATAATCCTAAATGTTATCACCCACCCAAATTTTGACATAAACGCGTAATCTCGGGTTTTAATATACCGG